GCAGCTGTGAGGAGGAAGAACTGGAACATTCCTTATTTAGGTAATTTCCTAATAACTTTCCAGTTCCCTAAAAATAGTGCAGGATAAAATGCTCCACCGTACCTGACTGGCACAGAGCTGGGAAATGGGAGTTGCTGGGTAATCTAAAACTCACTCTATTGTGTTTCACTCTGACACTAACATCAGGAAAGCATTTCCTATTTTTAGCTTAATTTGTCAAAGTGTCTTAAGGTTCTTGGATACATAGATATCCATTATTTTGAATAGAACATGCATACCGACCTCTTAAATAGCAGTGAAAATCTCCACCTTTCTCTAAATCAACATTTAATATATAGTTGGGGTAAAAGTAAAAAATACAGATGTAAAAAATTTAATCAATACGTAACATCAAAAAGGTCCATGTTTAACTTCCTCTACCAAATTGTACAGGTAACTTCTATTGTATATAGAGTGGCTGTTATAGGCTGAATCTGTTCCAAGATCTCTGTTTACTGACTCTGATCTTTTCCAGTTCATTTCCCTCCCAGTGCTTAAGGCAATTGCTTCTCAGCAGAGGATCTTCCCACAGCTTTGCGTAGGGCTACGCCTCCAGTGCCATTCCATCTCATCACCTTTCAAGTGCCATTATATTGTTCTTTCTTGACACCACCAGAAGTATGGCACAATCTGGATGTTGTTTGTTCCTGTTTCTAAGCATCATGTAGCGATAACAACACTGGAGTAAGTCTGCATCTATCCCAGAAGCAGCATTTGGTGGGGAAACACTCTGCTGGGAACGCTGTTCACCAACAGGTTTACTCAGGCTGCAAACTGAGACCTTTGTCCTCTCACTTTTCATGTGCACTGGGGCAATGAGTTAATAATCTTGTATTCAGTAAGCACCAAGAGTAACTGGTGATCAGAAAGCTACGGGAAAGAAAAGAGTATCTGATCTGTGGGGAAAAAAAAGTTTAAAGGCAAAAAGCAGAAAATGCAATTCACACTCTGGGTGGCCACAGCCTTTTTGGACAGCTGTGCAAAGGACAGGCCTGGTCTTCATGAGGTAGGGTCACCTCAACAAGCAAGGAAAGAAATAAGACAAACTAGGGGATGAGAAGAAGCCATGTTGGGGTTGAGTGAGGTTCTATCGCTAGCTTCAGTGTCCTGTAGTGTCAATTTGGATAAGAAGAGAAACCAAGAAAGGATCTGATGCTGTCAGCATAGTGCTCAGTCCTGCAAGAAGTGCTTTCTAGAGGAGAAAAGTGTACCTTTGTGGGTAATGCTTAGGGCTGTGCAGATTTTGGGGCTAATGTGATCTGTTTAGGAAGCAACAGGAATAATTAACCTCATGATTCAAGTGTAAGAAATTTGGGTCAGCAAATGTTTTGTTTTGTTTTTCCTGTGCAGACCAGGGGCTGTAGAGAGTACTCCAGCCAGTCATCTAACATGTGCTGAGGAATGCAGTGGCTCTCAGTGACAGCTGAGAGTGTGTCCTCCAGTCTGGGTCAGTCCCTTTGCTTCTCCTCTCCCTGACTGCAGCCTGTTGTACATTAGGCATACCATTTCTGTGTGCATATGGATTCACTTGTTCGTAATTTCTTGAAAAAACAAGACCACTTTGGTTACCAGTATACCTATGACCCCTTATCAGAACCCATCCTCGTATATATCCATATCTCAATTTTAAACCAAGCTCACCCCAACAAAGCACCTAACTTTTTTAGCATTCACTTCCTCACTCAAATTTGAAGATTCAAGCAATAACTAATTTATCTCTGGTTTGTCTGGAGCTTAAAATACTGCCTTTGTTTATTGGCACGTCTTTGGTGCTTCAGGAGGTGGTGTGAATCCATTTTCCTTCTACATTAACCATAGCTACTGATATCTTTTGCAGACGTCAAATGTTTATTTCACTAACTGTGTCTCATCCTGTTTTACAGGAGCTTTTAAAGAACATGTAAAGTTCCTGTTCATTAAAAAACCCTTTCAGCCAAACATGCGATCCCTTCCTGGGCAGGGCATCCGTTTCATTTGATGCCTGCAAAGTGGAGACTCACCAGTTGCTGTGTGTGTTCATCCTCTGTACAGGAATCAAAGGCAATACCTGGGGCTGTGGAGCGTGTGGCTGTAATCTCAAGAGGGAGATGCTGCTTTAGTTCGAGCGCCATGTAACTGCTCTGCCTGTGCTCCCTGAAACACTGTCCACAGCTGGTCCCAGTGCTCGAGGCCACATGAAGAAACATGTTTTATTATGACTTGTTCCAGTGTCTCAGCTGTGCTTGAGTCAGCGTACACTTTCTGCTTTGGCTTGCAGTGTCTATGTTCATTACATCTGAGCTGGGAAATGTTTCTGCACACTGTGTTTTGCTAGTCCTGTGTTCCTTTGTATGGATAAAATGTGCTGTATTGACTTCCACTGAAAGATGCTACCTTCCTCAGGTGGGACTGACATCCTGCATGGGTTGCATTGTGAGTTACTGCTCATGGCAATGTAGTTTTAGCTCAATAGCAACTTTTTTTTGGCAACAAGGGATCATTCAAGAGATTCAAGTGGAAAGATGGTGTCTTTTTTTTTACATGGCATTCCTTTTTTTCACCTGTGGTTTGACTGTCTCTTGTGTCTCTTCTTGGGTTTTCATGTCCACTTGTCAGGCTCTGAGACAGTACAAGTAGCATCTTCTCATCCTTGCTTGAAATCCACTATTTTAAAATCAGGGTAAGCTGCACAGAATTTAGAGGCAAATTCCTTTCGCAGTAAAAAAGGTAAACTAATCTCTGCTCCTGAAAGGACAGTAAGTATTGGGTGTGCAACCCCTTTGCACCTGAAGGAATCTTAAACCTGTTAGAAATGGGGAGGGGTGGGGTATAAATGAAGGCAGTAACTGAAGAGGACAGCCACAGCAAGAGTCTAGATGTGGGAGCTTGAACATAGGCTGTCCAGCATGATACAGGGCTAGGCTGACAGGTTGGCTTGGAGACTTTGGAAGTAAATAAAGGTCAGTCGGATCAGCCTGCGAGGGGAGGAAAGGGCTGTCGGGTCTGATGAAGGAGGCTTTATCTTGACTTTTCTGTAAATATTTTTTTCTGCCTTCAGTTTACTGCTATTTTCCCAGGCACTGCTCTGAAGAGTTCAGCTTAGGACATGCCCTCTTGGGTCTGATACCCGCAGTCTCAGGCAGCTCTGGAGTATGAGTTTAGCCCAGGGAAATAAAGTCTGAAGGATGTGTGTTTCAAGCCACAGGCCTTGGGACTGCCTTTAACTCCTCATAGCAGGCTTTAGATCCATATTTAGATACAGGAACATTTTCAATATCACGTTGATACCATCAGTTAGCAAACAATGACTTTTCTTCTGAATTTCCCATGGGAGAAGTTATAATTTATGTGTCAGTTTTAGCTTTCCCTATACATGCCTGCTTACCCTGTTGCATCCCTGAGTACACACAGCTTCTGCTCAGCCACAGCCTGATGGACCGGCTCACTGAGCAGCAGTCATGATGCACAAGTCAGAGGGGAGCAGAAGCTGAGGCAGCCTTTGGGGAGGGGAGGGGAGGGGAGAGGCAGCACAGGACATGAAGCTGAAGCAGTTTTGCAGAACTGGGGGGAGAGGCAAAATCTGATGTGAAGTTACAGCTGGCAGTAAGTGACAGTGTATTTACCTCCTATCAGTCCTACCAGTCTTTCCTTCAATAGAAAAGCCATAACAATAATGGGTCACAAGATGAGAGTGGATATGAAGGGCACTGCTAAAACCTTAGGTCCCTGCAATAACAGAAACATTTGTGGGGTAAAATTCCTGGGTGGTGTTGGTATGCTCCCAGTATGCTCGCAGTGAAGGCAAGTAACAAACTCAATGGTATTTATCTGTCCACAAATACAAATGCTGCTGAGAAATGCTGAAAAAACCCTCAAACAACAAGAAATCTAGAGCCTAGGTTGTCAGAGAAGGGGAACCCGAGCATGGGATCATGTTGGTATATTTAAAGAAAGCTGAAGTAGCATCCTTCCTACTGTCAGAGAAACAGGGCAGTGCAGGTTGGAAGGCATCTCTGCCTGTCTTCATTGGTGTGTGCTGGGATTTTTATTAAAAAGCTCTCCTCTTGAACACAGTGGTAGAAGTGAGGAAAGCAGTTTCCAGTTCTCTTGTTTCATCAGTACGTAGTTCTGGACAGAAGGTGACAGGACTTTTGCCATTTCCTGCTGTTTGCAGGTAAGGACTCACATGCAGTAATAAATGCACGATGTGATTCCTCCAGGATCCCATGTCATTGTGCTGGTAAAGGCTAGGTAGGAGCGAGCGACTCTTGGAAATCTTCCTAAGTGCTGGATTCTGGAGAAGAGTTTCTGCAGTGTAATGCATCAGGGTCACAGAACTCCTTTTTTTTTTTTTTTTTTTTTTTTTTTTTTTTTCCACAGCAAATAATTTTGAAGTATTTCACACTGTGTCTTACTTGAGCTCTTTTTGTTTTCATACCTCAGATGAACTATGTTATGGTGGAGTAACCTAAAAGTAAAATCAATGACTGACATGGTACAATCCTTCTTTAAAAAAAAGAGGAGGGGAGGGGGAGGGAAAGCTTCAGCAGTGTGTGTGAGAGGAGGGGAAAAAACCCCCAATTTCCTATAGTTTAAAAAACCAAACCCCCAAACTATGTGCCAGTGTCAGCCCTGCCCTCTAGTGCTCAGTGAGTATGAGATTGTTGCATGGTTCACAGCAATGTTGTCCAAGGCCACGCTCAGCTGATTACTTTTTAAGGTGTATTAGAGTGTGGGTTTTTTTTGTGTGTGTATGTGCATTTGTTTTTTGAGGGTGGTGGTGGTGTTTCTGGTGTTTTCATAGGATTTTGCTGCAAGACAGCCAAAATCAACCTCAAGCTTTGCTGGGTGATGGGCTCTATAAAAAAAATCTGAAGTACCTTGCGCACCTAAGATAATAATTATAATAAAAAATTAATTAAGCTGCAAAAGAATAAGAGTGTTTATGTGATTTATCTCTAACTGAAGCTTCCCCTCCACAGTATTGAAGGCGAGTATGTTCCCGTGGCAGGCGACGAGGTCACTTACAAGATGTGCACCATCCCGCCGAAGAACGAGAAGCTTCAGGCGGTGGAGGTGGTGATTACCCATCTAGCTCCTGGAACCAAGCATGAGACCTGGTCAGGACACGTCGTCAGCTCCTGAGGCATCCCGGAGGGAGCGCAGCCGCTGCCTGCATGGTCACTGCTCAACAACTGGCTGCAGGGGATGTGTCCTAAGAATATTCTACGTATTGTGCGGGAGGAAATACTGCATTGTCAATAAGCAGAAGTAGGCCAAAATTACCATTTTTACAGCTGGCCTCAAAAAAGAAAAAAAGGCAATTCAGATGCTAATGAAAAAATCTATCGTAATGTGTTTACAAAAAACCGTACTTTAAAAAGACCTAGTTTGTGTGCTTGGAGGGGGGGAAATTTGGTTTTTCTTCTATCTTGTGACCTGATTCCAGTAAATGTCCAGAGGAATCAGGAGAGGTTTGAAGGAGGGCTCTTCTAGTGCAGACAGCCGTAGCAGAGGCAGGACTCCGAGGCCCTGTAGGTGCGTGAGCATTGTGTTCCCTTGGGCTGCCCTTCCTTAAGGGCTGGAGTACGCTTACTGCTGCTAACAGTGCCCAAATGCGTTGGCTTGAGAGAGGGAGAGAGGCATTAGTTGCTGTGATTTGTGATTTTTCCTCATGGAAGGAAGCTCACAAACAGAGCAGCTGCCGCAGGGTGGAAAAATCTCCATCTGGAGGTTACGCTCCAATGGCCATGGCTGGGTGCCCTTCAGGTGCACCATTTGCAAACGGCATGTCTGCATATGTGTGGAATATTGTGGTTTTAAAACCTGGATTGTTTGTGAATTTACTTAGGTGCCTTGATGGTTGATTAGCAACAGATTTTATAGGCCAGTATTAAAAAAAAAAAACAAAAACAACAAACAACCCAAAATTTAAAAAATTTGCTTCAAGGTAAGTGGTAGAGAGCTGTAGAGTATGGGATACTTCATAGCCTCTGTGTGTGAATTTAGATAAAGCTGAGGATTACCTTCATGATTGCATATAGTTGGATGTCTGCCATGGTATTTCACTGGGCAAGCAGAGTAACTGTACTTCTGAAAAGCAAGTTATGTGCTGTTCAGATGACCGTGTGTAAAATACCATGCGAGTTACTCAATAGGCTCAGCTGTCTCAGTGAAGTAGATTCTGCAGCTATTTCCCTGGAAAACTTGCTTGGTAGGATGTGATATGGTCACCCTTGCCCTGACTCTCCTCTGCCTGCAAGATTTCATGTAGTTGTAGTGCAATGAAATTAGTTCTGTTCCTATTTGCCTTCCACATCTTTTTTTCAAATGAAGCATTTTTCTCTATTATGTTCCTAACAGTGGATTTTTATTGACTTTGCAAATAAAAAAAAAAAACCAAAACAAAAAAATGGCATGATACTCTTCTGTAAGTTGTGTGAAACAGCATAACTTCAGTTGCCTGTCTGCAGTTTCAACAATAGGCGCTTGCTGTCATGAAATGTCTTAACACTCTCTCACAGCAGATGGTCTGTTCCGAGGGCTGACCCGGGGAGAGCTCGGATGTGTGGAGGTTAGTAACTGCTGTGAGGGCTTGCTTTACCTCAGCTGCACCTGTGTTATTACACTGTAGTGTAATAATAATGACCAGCCTGTAGCGGAGTTTTGGGGTTTTGTTTTCTTCTTTATTAACCATAAGACTTAGTAGTTATGGTTTTAACATTGTCCAGCTTGTTGGAATATCGCACACTGCTTCCTTTACAATAAATGCAACCATTATAATGCTTTAGTGTATGTCTTCAGTCAGCTGTGTTGAAGATGATTAGCATTGAAGACAGAGGAGAATGCAGTGCCTGCATATGCACACCTGTATGATATTTACAAGTTTTTTTAAAAAGCGTTGTTGCCTGGCATTACCAGAAAAATTGGGAGTAATTTAGCAAGTTTTATAGCTGCTTAAAGGTTTAATGTAAAATATATACTACTACTTCTGTAAATATGTTTATTTTCATTATATACTATTTAATGTTATATTGCTATTTAATATTATGTATGTTAAGCTATAGTAGGGGCTAACAGGGAGGGATAGTGTAGCCTGGTCATTTAATCTGAAACTTGGGGCAGGAAGGGCTCTCACACTTAAGCAGGGGCTGCCCAGGCAGAGCAGCCAGTATTCAAATCTGCTGCAGCAAAGCTTTAGCCAGGCTCCAGGGGACAGGACCCTGCCCTGCCCTGCCCGCTCCAGCTCACACTACGAAGAAGAGCCGGAAGCAGCGGAGTAGGCATTGTGAGTTGCTTTGCTCTCTCTTTTTTCCTCCCCTCAGAGACATGGAATGTTTGCTTGTCCTCTGTTCGCATGAGAGGCAGAAGATAAACCTTAGCTATTGGCATGGCTGTGCAAGACGGACTAGCAAGCTTTTTTGTTTTGAACATGCGCAGGTATGTGCTCACAAATGATTGTATTTGAGGCTGAAAGCAAATCTGGGTTTGGGCCTGCACAAGCAGTTTTGCATAGGTAACTTTCTGCAAATACAGGAAACAAACATGCATTAAACAGCCAAATAATCAGATACATTGTATACACGTACACACAAAGCAGCAGCTATTAAAATCTGGCCATCTTTGAAGACTGTTCCTGCACTACAGATGGTTCTGGCCCAAAGTCTGCTCCGACTAAAATGGTAGAGGCTGAGTTGCCCTGTGGAAGCAGGCATGTGAGCAGGGTGTTGGAAGATGAGGCACTTCTGATGTACGTGGGCATTGCAGCTCCCCCTCGGTTTTTCTGTAAGCCCTTTTGAGGATTTTGGTTTGTACACAAAGCTCGTATTCTCCTCTTTTTTTTCTGTGTAAGTATCTATCGCATACACTTGGAACTGGAAAGATTGAAGTCAATCATTTTATTGTACAGACAGGCAGCATACAGCAGGTCTGCTTTACATATTTTATTTGCCAAAATGACAAATTGAAACAGTAATTTTTCATGATGAAACCTTATTCTCCTTTACTAAATTAAACTGTTCATACACAAGATTACTTTCCTAATGCAAGGTGAGAAAAGTAATATTAACAGTTACACTGATTGTCATGCTTCAACTTGAATTTTAATAGAAACGTAGTCTAGGTCATTTTTCTTAGTACTAAAATCTCATATACCCTTAATGCCTTACCAGGAAAATAAGGAATGTAATTAGTGGCAGAAATATTTTGCTACTATGCTCAAGTTGTGTTAATTAAGTTTTATAAATTTTTTAGTTTCAAAAAGAGTCTGCAAAAAGTGTAGGTACCGTGAACTGTACTGAGGAGGTAACTTTAGCACCAGTTGGTCCAGCCCTTCCAGTGGCGGCAGACTCCACGCACCTCTGACCATGAGATCAGGGACTTCTGGCTCAGTTCTACCTTCCCACCCCCAGGAAGAAATAAAACCTGCCTCTTTTACTCATCTTCCAGTTTTAAACAGGAAAATCCCAACTGTCTTATAATTCATGTCTTTATACCAGAAGGTAGTAGTTTAAAACAACAACTCTAAAACGTTCATCTTTTAAATAGCAGCTTCAAAATAAAAAATAGGGATAAAGCCTTGCAGGCCAATTCTGAGACCATAAATCAACTACAGGCAGATTATTCCCTCTCTCTCCCCGCCCCCCCCCAGTGTAATTAATTAGCTAAAGAAGTTTACTGATGACTTAAACAATAACAAAAAATCAACAAAAATAATAAAAGAACCCCAACAAAGTCTACAACCAGCCAAAAAGAAAACAAAGTACCTGTGTGGATGGAAACAGTGAAAGGATGGTGCTACATGAGCTCTGCTGTATTCCACCAGTCATCAAGGTTCCCTTCAGTTAAAACATTTCCCTTTAGTAACGGCTGACCTGCAAAGCACTTGCTATTCATGACCAATTACAAAAAACAATACAGAATGAAGGTGTTTTAAGTTATTAAGCTGTCTTAACTGTTTTGTAAGTAAGTGTGAATTCTAAAAGTCTTTTATTTAAAAAATAGCTCTTCACAGATTCTTCGTGTATCCTGTGGGGATGTGACGCTGTGGCCTTCTGTTCTGGAGTCTGTGAAAATTTCATAGTCATTCCCTCCCTGAAAACAGAAGAGAAAAACAGCACAAGAGGATTTAACATTATCTAACTTAACATGTAGTCACAGTTTTGGGATGGAAAAGGGACACATAAAGGAAATTATGGAAAGAAGGGACATAACATATTCATGTCTGAGATGTCTTCCAGAAAGCTAAAAAACCTGCAAACCACCACTTTGAGACTTTGCATGTGTCTATACCACACCTGTGCTGAAACTTCTGCTCAACACCACAAATGCTCACGTGAGAACTTCCTGACCTGCACGTTAGTATTGGTAATGAGAGAGCAGAACTCTCACTCTAAGTTTAGCCACGCTTTTAAGTTTGGTATAGCAACCCAGTATTGACTTTTTGAAATTATTCACTTGTTAATATTAAGGTGTAAAGCTTGTTACAGAACACTATGCCAGCATGTGGTATTTGTAACTTATTTCCATTATTCTCTTCCCGCCAACTTGGTTTCCTTTCCTTTTAATTAAATCATTGTCAAGACTGTTGATCCTTCACTACTGCAGTAATGTTTTGGCTTTGCTAGTTCCTGGTCTGATGTGACATTTGTAACTGTTTTCTAAGCACAGGAGAGCAATGAAAGATCTTTCCACAGCTGGCTCAGGGAACAAAGGCGCTGCCACCTGCAAGAGCAGCGATCCCCGAAAGCCGCAGCTTCGTGCGCTACAGGAAGCGGTACCTAATTTTTGTATGTTGTTTTCCAGTGAGTCAGCAACAACTCCTGCTACTTCAAAACTCTGAAAATGCTGCACTGCCAATTATAGTGTTTAAAATCAACTCTCTAAACTCTACACTGGAGGGACAGGTGATTACTTTTGCAGCTGGTGTCAAGGAGGGAAAAACTCCCATTAATTTAAAGCTTGTTTTTTTCCTATAAAACTTGGCCTTTTTAAGTTTATAAAACTGTCAAGTTCTTCGTAACTTACAGTTATAAAAAATGTAAGTTCTTATAAAACTAAGCCTTTACTTCTAAAACTTAGCCTGACACTGTCCCTTGGCTGTGTTCAGACACAGTGTTGCCCTCACTAGCTCTAGTCAGGTCTGCTCACCGTTTTCAAAAGCTTCTGAATTGCCCTGTGGAGTTGTTTAGCTCTCCCCAGTGACTAGGGACAGGAATTACAAGTAATTTAAGTTCCTCAATGTGGAGACAGAGTGGTTAGCAAAGGAACAGTATTAAATTCAATGGAAAATAAATACATTTAGATCACCAGCCACCAAAGAAGCATCTGTCTACAATAACCAAACAGGATAATGAGTTCTATATAGCCACATCACCTAGGTTTTTAATGTAATTACAGAAGTTCAATTTAAAAACATATTCCAGTATTAAGTCTGTCAAGAACATTGCATTCACTTCAGAAAACAGAAGAAAAATCCCTGCTGACGGCTATCTCCCAGCCAGTTAAACATGGACACGTGTTGCATTTATATTCTGACTTTAAGTCTTGTCAGGTATAAGGCAATTGGTTAGAACCTAGAGTGCTTGTGGTTTAAAACAGCAGCTCTGAAATGAAGATATAGAACAATATACTCACTGGCATAGTCTTATCTCCAAAGAAATAAATAGTCTTGTATCCATCGTTGGCAATGATTCCTAAGCAGTACCTCTTATCCCAGCCATCTGGGAACACATCAAAGCTGATCTGGCCTCCTGGGATAGACACAAACCAAGCACACTTTGTTGTATTACAAGAGCACATTTCTGAGGGTAGTGAGGAAAACTAAAGTGAGGAAAAACTAAACCGGGTAAGATTTTTGGTAGAGGGAGCTTTGCAGAAGTCACAGAAATATTACAAGACCCTGGAGTTAAGTCTTACAAGTACAGAAAGTATTTTATAGGGTATCAGTTATTACAGTTGTGATTATTATGTACCCATTAAATATGAAAGTCTTACCACGTTCCCAAACACTGACTGCTTTCAAACAAACTGAACCTTTCTTCAAGAATTACATTTAATCTTTTTACTTTTAGAAAGGAACTACATGAATGAATACAGCCATCGGTGTACGTTCAGCCATAAAGTCTTACGCAAAAGACTTTCTAAAGCTTTCAGAATAGAAAAAGGAGGAAATCAGCCTTTTTAAACACAGCCTAACAGGACAACTGTTCCAGTTCCAAATCCTTGGACTTTACCAATACACAAAAGTGCAATTCACAGTTGAAGTGGGTGTCAAAGAGGTATTTACAACATGCTTTAGGAGAGCTATACTGGCCCTTCATTTCTGCCACAATGTTTCAATACCACAGCTACTAATAGCAACAATACTTCTATAATTCTGAAAAATAGTAATGTGGTAATATATTGGGGGAGAGGGGAAAAAAAAGAAAAAAATGCATGGAAAACTAATTCCCCCTTATTATCACTTTTCTCTTTAAGCTTGCACTTGCTTTTGGATTTTCTTTCCTCTCCTTCCTCCCACACAATGCAGCTACAGAACTGAAGAACCAAGGGCTACTGGAACAGTACTGATGTAGTATTTCTGATCAAAATTGATTTGCAGAAACTGCTCTGACTGATCAGAAGCATATAATAGGTTTCAAAATGAGCAGACTCAGTCACATAACTGACATTAAGACAATGAACTGATGACAAGCAATGAAGTTCTTTGTTGATGGATTTCAATTAAAATGTACCAAATGAAAGCCTAGAAGGAAAAAGAGGCTGAGTCGTGCATGCAGTGCCTGCAACCACCCCCAGAGATAACTGTCACACAAATGAGACAGGATATGTCATACCCATAAGAGGACGTGATTTAACTGAAATTTAAATTAAATGATGTTTTAAGTTAAATTATTTTAAATGTGATACCTATAGAAAACGTGAGGCCTTTTCCTGCAAATTCTCTTCGTAAATCAGCTACAAATTTCTCCCTTATGTGTTCCTTCTGTTTAAAACAAACAAAACAAAACCAAACATCAGTTACATGCTGTGTTAATTCTCATCAATAAAAAGATAACCACAAAAATACCCAAAGGTCTGAGTAGCAGGACTGGCATGATGTAGCTGTATTTTTTTTATTACTGAAAGCATGCTGAGACTATTTCCACTTTAATCTGTTATCTACTTGTAAAAAAACAAGAGCAAAACTTCACATACATGGTGTGAGATGTGCTTTTCTAGCTGACAGTCTCAGAATATTAAGGAAGTATGCTTCAACTCCCAGTAAAATTGAGTTTTACAAATGGGGAGACTGAGGCATAGGAAGAGACTCAAAACTGGTACAACTCTCTTGATGCTGTAGACTCCAGAAAGGGTATTTTCAGAATGCCTTGGGCTTAGGTATCTTTCAGTATCCATTAACTGAGTCACAGGCAAAGACTGCTTTTGAGGAAACAGATCTCAAGTTTTGTATCAGGTCAGAAACAGTCACTATGGTGTATCATGGCTCAGATTCATTTCAGCCTCGCACATTTAGCTGTGTACAAAGGAAAATATATGGGGAATAATCTGACCTCAGCTTTTAAATTCTGCTTTAAAGAGTTAACAAGAAAAGTAATAATTTCATTACTTTGAATGGATATAGGCTGGTATACTAAGGAGCACTCCAGATAAGTATGGTTTTGTCTATGACAGGGTTTTTCAGGAACGCTGTGTGCAGAGGCAGGACGTTGGGTACTCTGGATACAGGGCTGAAAGGAACACGAGCCAAGCCTACCCCTTCTGCAAGTAAACATTGTTAACTATTGCAACAAAAACCCTGTTGCGTGTTTCTCTAAGTCCAAACTAAGAAGTTAGTTAGTTAAACTACATGGAAAGGAGTAAAATGAAAAAAAATAGCACAAAGTATAAAAGCTTTTTAAAAATCATAACCTGGCCATAACTGCCTCTTCCAGAAGAGTTGGATATTTTTCAAGAGCTGTAACTCACTTTATCAAGTTCATAGAACTCAACTCGTTCTTCCTGGCTGCAGCTTCTTCCTATAGGGGACACATTTAACATCCCGTTTCGGAACTCAATAAAAGTGCCCCTGAAAAAGAATTGATTAACGAGAGAGAAAGTAGATGAAAAATAGCTCAAACTACTGAATATCACAAAGAAATTCCATTTAATTCTGAATACAATGGGAATCAGATGTCTCCTTCAGCCTCTCATTGTATGCATAAAAAAACCTGATGTGTAGGAACCAATACCTCTGGCATCAAGGAGCCTTTTGGACATTTATTTGAATCTGGCAACCTCAACATCATCCTTACTGACTTTTAAAAGGACAATTTGGTTTTGAAAGTATGACTGGAGCATCCTGTCAACCCACTCCTCAGACCCTGACAGGCCAGTCTGTCAGCTTTGGGGTGAAGCAGCAAAATTTAGAGCAATCTTGGCAGCGTTTCTAGCTTAGCCTTGCGTGTGGTAGGTATTAATGTCCTGAGCAGCTGCTCCCTCACGCATCACACAGAACTGATCTTACTGCATGCTTCTAATCTCTGGAAAACATTACGCTGCTGAATTCCAAACATGTCAAGGAAATACTCCTACTTCCAAACTGAACTTCCTTTCCTCTTAAATAAAAATGCTGTCAGTATTTCAAATCCCGTGTTCCAGTTGGGACCTTGTCTTTGTAAGCATGGACTGAGCTCTGTTTCATCTACACGGTGTTCCTAAACCACAAATTACTCATTTTTTGCTGAGCAGCCTGCTTTACATGTTGATGCTCAACACTCTAACATGGACAACATGGTGACACCCGGATGCGTGCATGCACATACCTTTTCTTTGGCAGTTTAATCTTCGCAATATAACTCAGGCAGTAGTTGATTAGATCTTGAAGTATGTCCTCACCCAGGTGACCCTGAATGTTCTAACAAAATAAATACCATTCAACCAAGGGTCCAGAATTTGAGATTCTAAAAACAAGTCACACAGAAAACACAGACATTGGATAATCAAGCATGGTTAATACCGCAAAGAAACCCTCAACTACCAACTCTCAGTTGATGCACACATAGTACTAACTTTTAGTTAGAGTTAGCTCTCATTTTTGTTTACTTTGTGGTTTTTTTAAACCGTAATACCAGACTCTCATTTAATCTATTCCCTACTAGTACTTGCTCTACAAGGAAAAAGCATGGGCCAAAGACAGCAGACCTAAACAAAAAGTTGCCGTTAACCCCTACCGTAGCCAAGTGTGAAAAAATGGAGACTGTTACTGCAGTAAATTGGAAACCACGGCTCAAGTCAGCCATTTCAGCCAGGATCTCTTAAATTTTTAATCTCCATTGCTTATGTTGAACCAATGAAGAGGACTAGGGTACCTAGAATAAGATGTCTGTTTATAGTAATTTAGAGTATTTAGAATCACAGAATCGTTTAGGTTGGAAAAGACCTTTAAGATCATCAAGTCCAACCGTTAACCTAACCCTGCCAACCCACCACTAAACCCTGTCCCTTCTAGCTTATGTAACATATCAGAATGAATGCACTCTGCATTAATACTACAAAGCACCTACAAGACATCTATGTGAAGCTTTGGGAACCCTAAGGCCCAACCAATGAAATGCCATACTCCACAGGACCTCTGGGGGCAGGCGGCTTGGCCATGTTTCCTACGGATAAACTGAGGGAAAGGCTGCTCCAGGATTTTCACCGTTCTAATTTGATCAGCCCCTCCAGACTCCAATAGCTTTCGGTTTGGAGAACACCCCAAAGAATAAATCTTAAGGTGCTGACTGTCGTTGCATGAATCAGGGCACCAAATGAATGATCTGTTAGAGAAGTAACAGATGAAAATAGCAGCAATTTTGGGCTTGGTTAGAAGGGTGATTACAGAAGACGGCACTGGAGCAACAAAGCAAAATCTTATTTAGAAAATTTCTCTGTCACGTTACTGGAAATTTTACTCTTACCTGCTTGCTCAAGAATTTCCCATCTTTATATGCTACCAGACCATTTTCTGGAAAAACGTAGTCAAATTTTTCAACCACTACAACCAAACAAAAAGACAGTAACTTACAATTTCCCCTGTACGTTTAATGCAGAATTGTCTTCCAGATTAAATAGATTAAAATAGAGCAAATAGATCATAAAGCGTGAAAGATTTGGCAGCATAACATCAAGCACAAGATCAAAACCACTCTCATTTCTCTGCAAGATTAACACACGCCTCAAATGGCACGAAGCTTTTCAGTTAAGTCACCTGCATTTTTGCTTATAGGCTCTTCCTCTCCTGCAAACGTGTCCCTGCATTAAATGTAAGGAAGGGACTGAACACCTCAAATATTACAAGCACCTGGCACACAGCCAGAGAGCAAATCAAATACTACTATTTTAGGTTTGTTTGCTGAACATTACTAATCTACAGCAGATGTCCAAGCATTGTGAGAATCCTACTACAGCACACGGTGATACAGCTTTCTGGAGACCACTTGTAAGCCAAACAAATTCCGAGTTATTTGGGTGTTACAGAAGGCTACCAGTGGCATCAATTAAGTGAGGACCATTGAAGATGGTCTTTTATACAGAGAAGGAAATGCCTCTCAAAGGACTAAAGCCCATCTCTGTGTTGTAACCCCACAGTTAACAAAACCAGATCCTACAGGGATGAGCTAGACATCAGAGCAGCCTGCACGCGCGTCTACATTAGGTACAGAATTCCGTTTTGAAAAGACAACGTTAAAAACCCCTCCTATGGTACCATCGCAACGTCGGGATTTCACTATTATTAACTGCCCCTTCTATGATACCGAGAGATCTGTAAGATGCAAACAGAGGCTGCAGTTTCTAAACGCCTGTAAGTAGCTTTTGAGAGACGGAGTGCTACACAGCAAAACCAGGGACAAGGTTTAAGGCAGGGAAGGAGGAAAATGAGAAGTCTTTAACCCACATTTAACCTTCACGGCTTCCTTGTAAGCAATTCAGCGCGAGGGATTGCATCAGCCGCTATCCTTACCGTCATCGCCAAGCTGCTCCTTGATCTTTTCAAAATCTGAACCACCCACCACTCCGACTTTCACCTTCTGACGCAACTTCTGCAGAAACGCGGCCATCTCTGCTGTGATTTTCTAGGTTCCAAAAGAAAAGAATTGGGTTTGTCAGTACTCTTATCGGGAGACCAGCACCTCTGTTTCGCGGTAATTATTAAAAGCCGGCCGTACTGTGCATAGCTCTAAGAAAAAGGGAGGATATTTTTTTTTTTTTTCCCCTTAAACGGCGAAGCAAGCTCCCACGTCACGCATCGCGGAAGGGATGCGGAATGCGATGTGCTGGCGCACTCCGTTCCCTAAGGGCTGC